GTGTGTGTGTGTGTGTGTGTGTGTTTCAGAACGGGCAGTCCTGCAGGAACCAGGAGGCCTACTGTTACAACGGGAAGTGTCAGCACTACGACAGCCAGTGTCAGGCCATCTTTGGAGACAGTACGTACCTCTGTACGACTTCATCTTCTCTCCTCTCCCTCATTACTCAGCAGCTGACCCCCCCCTTCTCGCCCCTCCTCCTCAGAGGCGAAGGCGGCTCCTGAGCTCTGCTTCAAAGAAGTCAACAGCAAAGGAGATCGCTTCGGCAACTGTGGCTACCTCAACAACGGCTTCAAGAAGTGCGAGAGCAGGTAACACACACACACACACACACACACACACACTTCCTTAGTGTCCGTCCCAGTGTGAGGAGCTGAGACTGATGATGTCACAAAGTTCAAGTCCCACGCAAGTTAAACGCACCTCCAGCTTTGACCTGATGGTGGCGCTGTGTGATGTGTGCACTCCAAACCGTCACTACACCTGTGTCGCTACCAAACCGGGAAAACCTGAACAAACTCCATCTCCCAGGGTGCATTTCAAAGCCCCGCCCACATGACTGTGCTGTGTTCAGGGGTCTTTCCCACAGTCCGTCTTCGAGCCTTCTCCTGAATCCTCCGATTCTTGTCGAAGTCGCCGCTTCCGTTTTCCTCATCGTGTTTGTTGCCATAGAAACGCCATGTGTGGGAAACTGCAGTGCTCCAACGTTCAGGCGAAGACGGTGTTTGGCATCGAGCCGTCGATCATCAGCACGCCAATCGCCGGAGGGAAATGCTACGGTGTGGACTTCATGCTGGGGTCGGACGTCCCCGACCCCGGGATGGTGAACGAAGGGACCAAGTGTGGAGAGAACAAGGTGAGGAGGAGGGAGGAGGGAAGGGGATGAGGAGTGAACAATGAGGTGTTAAAGCTCGTTTCTTCTTCTGCGGCGCTCAGGTGTGTGTGAACTTTGAGTGCCGCGGCGCCGACGTCCTGAGCTACGATTGCGACGTGCACACCAAATGTCACGGACACGGGGTGAGTCGCCTGCCTGTCCTCCTGCCTACCTGTCTGTCAGGTGAGTCACATGACTCAGGTGTCACCTGTCTGTGTGTCGCAGGTGTGCAACAGCAACAGGAACTGCCACTGCGACTATGGCTGGGCTCCGCCTTCCTGCGAGTTATCGGGTTACGGTGGAAGCGTTGACAGCGGACCCACGTGGAACGGTATGTCACCTGGAGAACTCTAACTTACCTGAGGGCAGGCGTCCCGTGTTAACGCGCCTCCTGTGTGTGCCCCTCCCCCAGATAGGGACACGTCTCTCAGGGACGGCCTGCTTGTCCTCTTCTTCTTCATCCTCCCGCTGCTCGCTCTCGGCGTCTTCGTTTTCCTGCGCAGGAACGAGCTGCTGCGGCGACTCGGGCTGAGCCGCAGGAAGAGGTCTCAGGGATATGAGTGAGTGCATGCACACACACACGCCGCCACGGCCGCAGGAACCACGTGTTCTCTGTGCTGCGTTTAGGGACACTGAATATAATTGTAAACCATTAGCTGCACGTGTGGCGCTGCTCTCACGCTCATGTCTCCCTCAGGGCTGACGGCATGGCTTCAGCCAATCACAGCAGGAGACCGCCTCCCAGAACGCAACCTCCATCTGTTGCCCGGGGTAACGCCAATAACATCGTCAGAGACGGGGTAAGTTTAGGGTTCACATGAGAGTTTAAGTTTTCCCTCGTTTTACACACACCTGCCTCACCTGTCCGTCCAGGTGTGTGATGATGTTTGTAGCATCAGCAGTCGCTCCTGCAGCTTTACCCGGTTTGTTCTGTGTGAGCAGTGAGCGTTACAGAGACCCACAGCAGCAGCACTCTCAGTGGGCGTGTCTACAGAAGGTTAAAATTAAAAATCTTCAGGTGGACACGCCCACACGGCCTCCTGCTGCTGCTGCTGATGATGATGATGATGTTACTAATGACACAAACCTGCTGTGACCCTGCTGATCAGGAGGCTGAGAATGGAGACGGTGATGATGCTCTCCTGGTAAGCCTCAGTGTAGAAGCTGAAGTTAGATGTAGTGATGAGCACACCTCAGCACGAGAGCACCAAACACAGTTATTGATCACTGTGTCGTTAGATGACCTCACAGGCTGGACGATCAGCTGATCGCTTACAATCAGTGACAGACTGTACTAACCAACCGAGCAGCTGATCTGCATCGATCAGCATCTAACTGGAACTGAAGCGGCTGTCTGCACGGGTTATTGATGAGCTGATTAAGCTGTGTGATTAATCACTTTAGTGTGTGTGTGTGTGTGTGTGTGTGTGTGTGTGTGTGTGTGTGTGTGTTGATGGACTGCATGAGCTCTAACACGCTCTGCTCTCTCTCCATGTGAAGCACCACGCTCAGCTGCTGCCACCACAAGAGGTAAACCCTGCTTACTTCTCATTACCGCTCTAACTACTGCTGCTGATGTAGTGTTAGCTTAGTGCTGCGTGTCTGCAGGTTAATCATCACAGCAGGAAACTAGAAAGCAGCTTTCACTAACCCAATGACATCAGGTAAACTGGGAGAGTCAGACAGGCCAGGTAGATCGGTGTGAGGGTTTGAATGGGACAATGACTCGCAGGTTTACCCAGGTGTACTTCCTCTGTGTGTGTTCAGGTGGTGGAAACCAGCCGGACGGCTCCTTCCCATGCTCTGAAGCCGCCACCGCCTCCTCTGTAAGAAGTCGCGCACCACCACATGCACCGAAACACAAACCGAAAACAATATGAGCACAAAAACTGTCAGTCAAACCTGAAATGTGGAAACTTCACTTTCAAACTAAAAGTTGTATCTTTTTAAACATTTGACGCGACAGCGTATGTTTCCAAAAAATACAACTTTTTGCATTAGCTTCTAAATGATTTGATCTAACTTGATGTTAACTAGTTATAGAAGCTAGCCTTAAGCTAATGATTCTTAGAAGCTAAATTTAAGCTACTGAGCCTTAGATGCTAACTTGAAGCTAATTGGACTTAACAGTTAATGGAAGTCAAAGCTGTACCTGTGGCTAATGCCAAATCGACTGTATTTAAAAATTATTTTAAGCCAACTGTGAGCTTGCTGGTTACTAAAATGCAATTTAATTTTAAGCTAAATTGTCTTCTAGTCTTCTAGATTTAATAAACTTAAAAGCTGCATTTAAGCTAAGTGGATGTAAATATGAGCCAGATCAGGGCTCTAGGCTAACTTTTTGCCACGCGTGCACCGGTGCGCCTAACTCAAATTTTTCAACCACATCGCTTAACACTGCAGTTTTACATGTGCACTTTTTTTGAGGGGGGGGAAGTTGCAGTCCATACAGACAATATTCATTTCTAAAGTATTAACTATCAATCTTGTGCTTAAAGTGCGTTGGCACTCTTTGTCAATATTGTAGAAAATGTTAAACTTGATCATCATCTCGGCTCCTCTGACGACCTGTTTGCTGCTGAAAGGCCGCGGGCAGAGGGGACACTCGGGCATTTATCGCAGCATATAATGTGTTTTCTGGACACACTGCTGCTTTTCAGCATTCAGAGGTTGATGGCACCGTGTCAGAGCTGGCTATGAATTTTAGACGGATCAGGCCTTAACTTAACAAAAAAGTTATCAGTCGTTCTTTTCTTATCACCCACAGCTGCATCCACTCTGTCAGGCCTAGGCTGCTCACTAGGGCTGCGTATCATCACTGATTTCTGTAATCCTGGGAAACTGTTCTTGAAGTACAGAGAGAGAGAGAGCTGTGCATGAAGTGTGATTTTTATCGTGGTGGAAGCAAAACTGATAAAAGAGGGAATTCATGACGACATTGATCAAATGTGAAGCGCAGTTTGCTGCTTCTTTTGCTGCTGGCTCGGTGGATTTTGGCTGGAGAGACAAAACCTGCAGCTCAGAATCAGCGCAAAAAGACGTAAACGCAGCGCGGACCGCACGCATCAGAATCGCTGAGCTCCGACGGCGTGTCCGTCTACGGGCCGTCAGGTGAGAAAGCCGACAAGACAAAGCTGATTCTGATGCGTCGGGTCTGTGTTTACGTCTTTGTGTGGAGTCCGTGTACCTGCTCTTGAAATAGTTTTGTGAGCTTTAATCTGAGAATCTGGCGTTTCTGGCAAAACACAGTTACATTTAAAAGTCTATTCAGGATTTAATGAATCGATATCGCTTTATTCAAGCTACTCACCTCCCACTTCCACCTGCACTTTCAACTGGACCACGGCCAATCACAGAGGTCCCGCCCCTGACTATCTCTGATTGGTTTAGTCCATGATAGGGGCAAAATGTGTGTCTGTTGTTGACCACAGGGAAGGTTGCAGAGATTTTTTTTTTTTTTGTTACCCGAACACAATTTGGTGGCACCGGTGCGACCAAATTTTTTTTTAGTCGCACAACTGAAACATTTGGTCGCACTGAGCCCTGAGCCAGAGGAAGAAATTTTGTTCACCCAGTAGCAAACTGACTTAATTCATATATTAACGTTAAAGCTAACTGGACTCAAGAGTAAAAAATTTAAAACTAACTACACACAGACACGAGCATTAATTTAACTCGACAAAGAAAGAAACTAGCTAATGTTAAGCTAATCCTAAACTGGATACGGCAGCTTACTCCTAATAGGGCAACACTAGATGGCCATAGATGGATAACATTTATAAGCTAGTCTTTAGAGTGGCTAGGTGCTAAGTGAACCCAGAAGCTAACTGCTGGTGTAGCTGTGTCTCTGCAGCAGTTTGAACTGTGGCGGAGTGATACATCATCTCAAACAGAGCGTGCACGCTGTGGTGTTAGTGGCCAGTCACAATGTAAACTCTTTTTCTTCTTCTTTCTTGCACAGAAAACCGAAACCTCCTGCTGCGTCTCAACCTCTGGTGCCTCAAAGACCTGCACCCGCGCCTCCTGTTTAACCAATCAGGGGTCTTCTAACGACACCTGGATGACCCCCCCCCCCTTCTACTTATCTTCAAACCCTTCCCAGCGAACTCAGAGCTAGTTCCTTAGCAACAGCCAGGAACAATTCTGTAGCCACGATAACCAGCTGGCCAGACTGCACAGCCATCGCAGTGAAATGGATCCAGGTGGACCGGACGAGAAACTTTGCAGAACCTCCAGGAACCCAGCAGGTCCAAGCTGGAGCCGCTGCTGTTCTCTGACTTAACCAGGCAATCGGATTGTCCTGAAAGCATGAGTTCTTCTGATTGGTTGGTTTTACGAAGCCTGCTTAAGTATTTTTAAACTTTCTGATTTAGTCATGTGACCTTTCAAACAAAGTATAGCAAGTATAGCAGGCCATGTGGGCCTCTCACTGATTGGCTGGTTTGTAGTTGTGGGTGGAGCATGTATCTGAGCACTGGTTTGTTTCTTTTCTGTCTCTGAATGAAAGCACTGATAGCGCCGCCCATCTGCTCAGCACTGTTTTAGGAATGTAACGCGCCCTCCTGCGGTTGTGTGCCGGTGTGTTTGTTTCTATCGTCTGGCTCGCCCTGCGTTCGCTCCCTCGCTCTTCACAGAACTGTAAATCTACGATATGCAAACAGCGTCTGAGCGCGTAGCTCCTCTGGTCTCAGTTCGTCATGCAGCATGGCGCCGTCTCTGCAGGGAACGAACGCTCACTAGGCGAGGCTGCTCTGTATGCCTCTACTGTCCAGGTATTTCCACCAGTTAAAATATGAGTCTGAGCTTGCAAAGCATTCTGGGAACCGTAGGCAGTCACATTTGGTACAAGCAAAGTGGATTAATCTGTCAGAATTGAAACTAAATGAGATGAGTTCAGACCTGCACTGAGAACATGTTCACTACAAGTCTGGGATCAAACTGAACAGCAGTACCTACCAGCTCCTCCCAACATCGTTCATTTCTTTCTTTCAAAGACTTTAGAAAACACACTCATTCCTGATTATTGTTACCAGTGTGACTGACTCAGTGGAGCTTTTTTTAAATCTGTCGCTCTTCTGTTAAGGTTGAAGCTTTTTGTAGATCCACATGTTTCTTCTGGGGGGACATAGACCCCGTTTCACCAGTGTTTTAAAAATGAATTATGTCCAGTGGAAGCAGAACTTTAGCAGAAACATGAACTTGGGTGTAGCCTGCTGAGCATTCACAGAATGTGTGACGGCGTCTGAAGGTGGAACAAAGTCCTTGAAATTCTTGGCAATAATGTCCCGAGAGCGTCCACGCTTCCTGTCCCGGGCGAGCAGCGATCACGCTGAACTCTTCCCGCATTCAGGGCGTCTGATTCAAACCAGGGATTTTTACACCACCGGTGAACCAAATGCTTGCGTTCTGCAGCTGACGAGCCTGGATGCACTGTGCTGTGTAGCCACGTTGGTATTTTTAAATGCCTTTTTTCACTTACTTTGCTCTTTTGAGGGTTTTTGCACAGAAACTGAGGACTCCACTGAGGATGTTGATGTGTTGCTCACAGGGCTATCTTAGTGCCATTTGACTGTTCATGCCAAAAAAATAAACCGTAGTCTGTGCTGAGCTCCTGAGTGAAGACAGTCGGACACAGTTATTTAAGGAGCTGAGAGCAGCTGAAGCTTCAGGTTACAGGCAGCTGCTGACTGCAGCGTTTAAAGGGGATCTGTTCTTATCGTTTCCACCTCTGCACTTTGTCAGAGTAGCTTTTCATGATTCACAACTTAAATTAATCCAAATTTCTGTAATGCAATCAAAGCTTCACCTCACAAAGCTTAAAGTTAGCTTAGAGGCATCTCCACGGTGCAGTTAGCTTCGGGTGCAGAGTCAGTTTGGAGTTTGTGGGATGACTTCGCTCATAATTTAGCAAAGTCTCTGCTCCTGTTAGCTAGCTGCCTTAAAGTTAGCTGATGTGAAAGGTTTGTGGTGTATATGCGTTTGGAAGTTTGGCCATGTTAAATATGAATATTACAAAATTGTAAAATCAAAACTCTTGGTGCTCAGCAGCCATCTTGGTAATTTAAAGTGTTTATTTCTCCAGGTTAAGCTGACTTTAAGACCCTAATTTCATGAAATTGGGTGAATACATGTACTTTTACCAAAAACCCCAAACAGGTAAAAGGTCTCAGCACAGCTGGTGGTCCAGGTGGAAAAAGCTTTAAGTGTTATTTTGGGTCAGCACAGGCCAACGTGAAGCGGTCCCCTTTAAAGCCAATCAGACATCCTCAGTGGGGTTACATTCATACTGAACCTGTGTAAAAGATTTCATTTTCTCTTATTATGAATGATTTAATCATTTCTTTTTGCTTTTCACCTGTAATCTGTGGTCATTTGAACATTTAATTATTAACGTTGCTGCGTGGCGTGGAAGCCTCCGCGCTGACTGATGATTTTTATGATTCGATGGATGATCTCTCACCTGTTGGACAGGTTCAGGTTGTTACAGCCAGTGGAGCTCAAACTTGTGCTGCTTGCTGTGAAAACCAAACCTGGAAGAATAAAGGTCCTTCAGCTGAACATGATAATTTAATAAACTCTGTTCATACAGACTGTGATTTGTTTGCTTTCAGACTTAATAAAGGTGCACAGAAAATAGTTTGTCAGCATTCAGGTTCCCGTTTGTGGCGACATCCATTTAATATACAGGAAAGCACTCACAGCCTGACTGCAGTCATTGTCACACTTTCAATTTGAAAAAATCTTTTTGAAATTCAAAGTTGTTTTAGAATTGTACAGGTTTTTTAAAAATATATTTAGGACCAAAAGGGTTTTTTAATGTCCTGATACAATAACTGTATTTTTAAATAGTTTTGTGGAGTTGGGGCATTAAAATAAAATCAAGCCGTACTTTCTTTCTATTTTTTAAACTGTTATTTTAGACTTAAGTTGTTATTTTTACTGAAATATTTAAAAAAAAATTAAAATACTGTTGAATGACTTTTTCCACAACAAACATTTAAATAAGTATAAAAAAGATTCCTTGTTAGTGTATTTGTTTAGTTCCGTTTGTAGTTTTTCTACAGCGGGACCACGCCCCTTTCATTGTACGTGGTGACGTCAGCGCGAGCTCTGCTCCTGTGCTCAACACATCGAGCTGTCATCATTTTACCGGGAGAAGCGAAGGGCATCCGGGATACCGGCCGAGAGGGAGCCCAGCACTGTGCTTGGAGGTCAGTACCGGGCATTTAGGGGGGACGCTGGGCCGTGAGCGAGGACACGGTCCGACCTGCGGGCTCACTCGGGGGCGGGTTCCGGTTTTGATTCGTGGAAAATGAAAACCGTCTGGACGAATGCGAAGATGCCTTGTTAGCCTGCTAGCCGCGTGCTAGCCGCTACGGCCTTTTAAAGTAACCTTTGGAGCGAGGCCGTCCGTTTAAAGACTCCATAAGCGGAGCAAACGCCTCCACTGAATGCAAACACAGAAACTTATTCAAAATGAAACTGCTAATAGCTGTTAATTTAAAGCAGGGGCGTTTTGTGAAGCGAATCAGCTAATTATATAACGCGCCGCGTTAGCGCTGAAGCTAAGCGTGCAGCTAAGAGTTTGCGCAGTGAGAGCCGCTCCGTGTGGCGTCACACACAGCGGGTTTTAGCCATTATGCATTCAAAACAGATGATTTTACGATGTCTGGGGAACACGGCCAGGCATTTTCGGGAACTCATGACTCGTGAAAGGACAAAGTGATCGAATGTCCGGGTGGCCAATAGAGAAGTCTGGATTTCTCAGAGGCAGCCAGTCAGGAGGCGCGGTAGGCAGGTAGTGGGCGGGTCCAGGCAGGGTTAAGGGGAAGGAGAGCAGGCTGGGAGTGGAGCCCCAACAAGGTCAAAACAAAGCAGAAAGTCCCGGTGGGTGGCGAGAGCAGGCCCGTGGGGGGCTGAGAGGTGACCCCGCCTCCCAGAAGGACACGGTTCCGGTTCTGTGACTGGGTTCTGAGAAGGCCTTGGAGAACTTTAACTCCTTGAGTTCTGTGAAGATCTGCAGAAGACTTCAGACTTGACCCTGTTCGCAGCGTCAGCACCGGTCAGAAGTATAAAGACACCCAGTGTGACACTGATCTCTGATCAGCAGTCTGCGGGATACATGCGGGTTTCCAGCATCTGTGCAGCTGTTTTAGGAAACGGCAGGAACAATATGACCTGCGTGAGTTACAGCTCACTGTTTTGCAAGTTGAAATAAAAGGCAACACCAGTTTAAAGGATTCCCATCAATCCAGAAAACTGCTGGGAGTCACATGACAAAAGAATTGAGATGTTCAACTTGCGAAGAAGAAAAGCTCCCAGGATTGTAATAAATATACTTTAACTAGTTTGGTTTAATTATCTCAGGCAGAAAACATATATTGTTTTTCACAAGGTCATAGAAACAGGAAGTGCAGACTCTGCTCACTGTGTTGAGCTCACATTCACACTCTGCTCCGTTTTGAGCAGGACAAACCCTGCTGACCTTGCAGGACCTCTCTCAGGCCTGTTTTGTGGTGGAGTACCTATACGAGGCGAGGTACTTTGCTCTGGGGCGGGTATTGTTTGAGATATGAGCTCAGCAGTCACCAACACAGCCTACTGACCAATCAGATTTCTGGAAAAGAGCGTCACCCTTACTGGAAGATCCTCTGTGTAGACAGTCAGAGGGTCTGAAGGTGTTCTCTTTATCTGATGGAAGAAACTCAGGAGGAGCTCTGCTGCTGCGTCCTGACCTCATCAACATGTAAACAGACTCTTTGTCCTCTCAGAGCATTTAATGCCAAAACTAAAGATTTTTAATTATGAGAGTGGCGAGAGGGTTTTAATCACAGGCGTCTGTTCAGTCACAATTTTACTGGTTTCCTTCCTGCTTTGGATAAACTTTATTAATCCAGCAGCTGTTTTCCAGTCTGACTGAGCAAAGCTCACACATTCATGCAGTTTTTAGGCCTTTACTCTCTCACACGCATGTGCATGTTTCTGATTGGTCAGAGGCTCCAAACTGTGCCTCTTTCATGTGAACACTGATAAACCTGTCATGTGACCCCGCCCCAGTGTGATTGATAGTTAGCGAGTGAAGCCAGATATGGAAAGATATCCTGGATACGTTGACCCTCATGCAGGCTCTCTGCTGGTTGGTGAAATTGAAAACAGCAGCTAAAAGTCAGACATGGTGTGAGGAGGCTGTGCCGTTTTTATCAATAATCAAACTGTAGTCGTTATTTCTCCAGTGTGTTGTTCTGCTGTGCTTCACAGAATTTCCTCAAATCAGGAACTTTAGACCTTTAAAGGAACAAAAATCAGAGGCAGAGACCTCGGTGTTCTCGTAGTTTCAGTGTTTACCTGGAGAAGGGTGAGATGGCAGGTCTGTTTTGAATAAACTTTATTGCAGGGGAACAAGGTGTTTTTGTTTTCCTTCTGCAAGTGCAGTCATGTGACTGGGCGTGCTGGCAGCGACCTGCACAGAAAGTAAAAGCGTGCGATGCACCGATCTTACAGGTCGTTCCTGGAGCGCGGCGTCGGCCTCTGATGTCAGGAAATGTTGCTCACGTGTTTTGGACTGAAGTTCATGTCTGTGATTGGTCAGTGATCTGTGACCTGGCCCTGAGCCGGCTTCTCGGGGCCGATTCAGCCGGGCGCCACTGATTACTGAGTGCAAAACCACCATTAGGTCATGTGACCGTTCTGCCTGATGTAAAGAGATCTTTAAGCGCGCACTTTTAACGTGTCTGTCAGGCTGTCAGAGCTCCAGCAGTCAGACTTGAAGCCTCTGTTCATAAGGAGGTGAAGTAAGTGCGAGTCTGACAACTGCTGTCTGTAAATCTGAACGTTAGCATCTTTAAATCCACTGTGCCGCATTTCTGAGGACGCCGTTTGTCAGGCGCCGCAGATCAGCCCTGACTCTGACATCGTGTTCCTCTGCAAACAGCAGCTCGAGTCGGCGCTCGCAGTGTTATTAGAAGCTCGTCGGACAGAAACCGCCATCGTTAAATCCTAAAGCACAGCTTTCTCTCACATCTCATTTGAATAAAGGTGACTGTGGTCTGGAGAATGGGGGCTAATTCTCTCTCTTCTTCTCTCAGTGGACTGACGTGGACGTCTGACTGCTTCCTGTTGTGGCACTGACCTGCTTTTTTCTTCTGCGTCGTTGTGAGGTCGAGGACGTCCGGACTGTCGGACCGAAAGTCACCGCCGTGTGTGATACTTTAAGGACTGCTCATGCATCGTTTAAGGACTTGTGCGGCGCGGTTGCGTCCGCTCACCGCCTCGCAGGCGGCTCAGACTGTCGGCCAACAGCGGCCAATCACAGTCACCTCCACGGGTGGCAAAAGGACGTTTCAGCCAATCAGGTGTTACACAGCACCGGTGGCCTCGGAGCCGTTCCTGAATGGGACGAGCTCCAACTATGTGGAGGAGATGTACTACGCCTGGTTGGAAAATCCCAAGAGTGTTCATAAGGTAAGGAGCAGTGGAGCCCCTGCAGGTGTGGAGTGGTCAGTGCAGAGGTTGGTTTGATTTTACTGCTGGCAGCATCGATGCAGGACAAACCCTCCAAAGGACTTCAGCAGCATTTCAGTGTAATGGGACATAAACCCAGAACCCAGACAATCAGAAGTTAAAGGTTTGGTGATTTTGAACACATAAAAACAGCTGCACACCCAAAGCACCTGCACCGTTTCCACAGTATTGATAGATTCCACACACAGAAAGAGTCCCACAAATTTAAACCCTAGTGGGAGTGTCCTTTAAGAGGGTCGATGACCCACTGTTGAGCATGCGCCCCATCCCATGAGCCGAGGTGTGGAAAAGGGTGTGGGCCACTATCAGCAGAGGTTTCGGGTGAAACCATTGTGAGGCCCACGTCTTTCAAAATGATGAAGATAAAAGTTCAGGGCCCTCTAGCAGCCCCGGGTCAGACAGTTTTAGGCGCTCACGTACAGTTTTATATTTTTAAATATTAATATGATGTTTTATTTCACTTGAAATGTAAAAAATAATGTTCTGAAATAAAGAAAGTGTCAGTCTGCCGTCGCCCTGACTGAAACCGACTGAGCTGATACTTTCACTGCACATTTGTCTCCGTGTAAAACAAGCAGCTCTGTTTTTAGTGGCTAACGTGGAGGAAATGCTCGTGTTTACTGAGCCGTGCAGTAAACAAAGCATTTAAAGAATTTGCATGAAGCATTTTTAGAAATGTTCCATTATTTAAAACTACCATCACAGGTGAATCTTCTCTACAAGCATGCTTTCTTCTGATTGGCTGGATTCTGGAAGTACGGAGAAGGGCAACAACCACTCTTAGCGGGTTGTACGGTTTTTGTCAAAGATCACCGTATAAGGAGATCTGTGACGAGCTGATGTCAGCATGGCACGAGTAGAAACAAGTGGAAGTGAATGTGTAGGGCAGGCTTGACAGGAAAAACTGCATCGTTAGCTCGCCGCTATTCGCATTATGTCGCTAAACTACTGAACGCTCGGGAAACGTTGGCCAAACCAGCAGTGGCACATTTCTTTATTTTCTCCCCGTACTTCATTTCCTGAGGGTTCGATGATAAACACGATACAATGTGAGAAATGAGCAGAAGATTAAAATGTGATTGGCTGAAAACTGAAGAGAAGGGCGGGATTAGTGAGTGTGACGCTCCAGCTGGGTGGAACCTTTAAAGAACACGCCGTGCTTCCTTGTTAGTGACAAACATGGCTCGTTGTGTTGTGACGCACGGCGCTGGCGTTCACTGCTGGGAGGTCTCCATGAATGTCCTCCAAGAAACATGAACCACAGCGTTGGTGATTCACGTGTTCACGTCATGTGCCACCGCTGTGTTAAATTACATATGTGCTTCTGATTGGCTGGTTCGGCCTGCAGTGAAACATCTCCTCCATGTTGTTGTGCAGCTGGTCCTGGTTCTGCTCGGGGACCCGTCCACCTCTGACGAAAAGCTGCTGCAAGATATCAAGGACACGAGGAACATGATACAGGAAGTGTGGGGCCCGCTGGTTAGCAGTAACAGAACTCTTTCAAAATAAGAGTGAAGCAAGTGTTTAGTGGGGAAACTCTTGAGGCTTCGATGAGTCAGATTAAACAAAAAAAAGCTCAGATGAGTGTCGTGTGCACAAAAAGCTGCTGTGGGAAACAGTGGTGTGCATCTGTTTGTAATGATATGATGCGTGTGTGTGTGTGCAAAAGTCTTGAGCCACTCATTTCTTTGTATTTTGTTTCCAAGGAGGCAGACGTTCTTTAAAGTGCTCTTGAGCAACAACTCTCCAGGTTTCTGAAGCTCTTTGTTGTTGGACACTGTAATGTGCTGTAGTGTGTTAGTGAAATGAGGCAAACTCAGAATAATAATATGTGGAGAATCATACAGGTTTTACTGCACAACAGGAACATGTGGAACATGCTGTTGTTGATATCTGGGACGAAGGACGAGCATTAAAATGTGTTTGCAGGCGTTTCCTCCTGTCCACATTCTGAAACACATTACAGCCACACTGACATGTTCAGTGTGCTCTGAGCACATGTGACCAGTCATGTGACAACATCCTGTTCAAAAGTAGCAGCTGTGTCAGGACGGCGCTTTAAAGGGTTTAAAGCAGGGGTAGGCAACTCCAGGCCTCGAGGGCCAGTGTCCTGCAGGTTTTAGATCCCACCCTGGGTTAACACACCTGAATCACATGATTAGTTCATTACCAGGCCTCTGGAGAACTTCAAGAAATGCTGAGGAGTTATTTAGCCCTTTAAATCAGCTGTGATGGATCATGGACACATCTGAAACCTCCAGGACACCGGCACTCGAGGCCTGGAGTTGCCCACCCTGGTTTAAAGGGTCTGTTAGTGCTTAGAAAGTCTGAAATAAGCTCTGTGGAGACACATGGAGACGGTGCGTTTCATTCATTTTAGCAGCAAAAACAAATAAGTACAGTACACCATCAGCGTTATGTAACAGCAGTGGTTCATCGGGATAATCAGTGACGTGGACTGTAGACTACAGGAGCCTGTGAGGGCAGTGTCACCTGTGTCACCTGCCAAGACTCGATGCTAAGAGGAGCGTAGCGCGAACGGCAAAGCAGCTGGATGGAAGAAAACGGAGTCAGATTTAAAAGTGAAAGAATTTCACAGGAAACTGAAGATAAATCTGCATGTAAAGCTCCTGTGATGTCACCTCTGAGTGGGAGAGTCACGTTCACGTACGTTAGCTAACCTGTCATGACGCTCGCTAAGCTAACATAACAGTTTAGTTAGCTAACGAGTGAAATGTGATGCAAACCTCGCCTCTGTCAGTGCGCCCCAGGGCAGCTGTGGCTACAACGTAGCTGCCATCACCTGTGTGTGTGGCTGATGTAGTGTAAAGCACTATACAAATACAGGAGCAGACACACAGTCTCTGCTTTATTTGGTCTGCTCACATTAATATTAGAGTTTACCTAATGTTAGGAGGTGACCTGTGGGCGGGACCGTATCAATAATAATTACACATGTAATCACTTAAACACCGCACTACCAAATCGGTGCTCGGTAACATTTGTATTCTGGTTCTGTTTGTTCCAGATTACTAGTATTAAAGACGCACAGATGAGTCTGTCCTGTACAGAGCAGGTTATCGTCAGCTGTGACCGTCAAAGATGAGTCGCATCCAGAGCGTGAATCATCTTAAACTTTGGAAACTTATTTAGGACCGGAAAATCATTTTGACTACAGGAAGCACAGACGAGAGTTATGGAAACAATCAACCTGACGTCCATTATTATTTAGACCAAAATACTAAATCTTGCTCTGTAAGGGCCTGATATCCACTTACGAGGACGTTATGCTGCAACTGTTCTATTGAAATTTTAAATAAATATCCTCGTATGTTGCTCTCATTTTTCTCATAAACAAAAATTAGGTAAAAGAAAAATCTGGTAATTCTTTGTTTTTACTTTCATCAGGTCCTAACCAGCCCAAATATCAAAGAGAGATTAAAATGCATGCCATGGAAGAGTTCAGGTTAAATTAGGTCCATGTTTATGATTCGAATGTCTAACGTGAGACCTAAAATCTAAAACCACGCATGTGATGCAGACAGCAGCATCACGGCATCTGTGTCGGGGACCGGTGCTGCGTGTGGAGCTCACAGCTCTCGATTCTGTCTTCTTTAAAAAGCTGTAAATGAGTCTGTTTCATTTTTCCGTTATTCGTCTTCAAACACGCTCTGGGGTCGTGAAGGTGACATGGCTGTGACGGCGTTTGTTTTGGTGAGCTCTCTGACCGGGCGCTAAAGGACAGCCAGCTAATAATAGCCCCCAGAAGCTCGAGTCACGTGACAGGCCTACTTCAGGGCCGGCAGTGAGACTGAGAGGCCCTCTGGCTTCGATCAGTTCTTTAATGACTTTAAACGAGTCCGATTAACGAAGGCCGATTTAAAAACAGGAAGTACTTTGAAGGATCTGGACGCACTCCACCTTGTGACTCAGCAGGCGTAACCCGCTGTGATGGCTTTAAAGCTTCCTGTGTGACTTCGTCAGTCTCACGCTGTGGAGGAGTCTGGTGTGTGTGTTTGGTCACCACGGAAACGGCGTGATGTAGAGCAGAGCTCATTAAGGCCCTCTGACCTCCTGATGGTGAAACGGCGTGCCCTCAGATTCTCTCTTCCTTCATCGAAGCTTTGAGCGTCTCTGAGGTCAACCGTCAAACGCCATAAATAATGCTGCGTCCATGTTTGACTCAGCACTGGTTATCTGTCGGTTAGCTGTTCTGACTCCACCCACCACAGGAAGTTCTCTTACTTATAGAGCACACACAGCAACAGCAGGCGCTGAGGTGCCTTCAGTGCAGTAAGATCAGGATCTCTGAGCCTTGTTCATGGCATCATCAACATCTTTCTCTTCTTCCTCTCCTGCAGTCGTGGGATGTGTTTTTCCGGAACGCCAACGCTGGCGCTCCTCCCGGCGCCGCCTACCAGTCTCCTCTGGGGCTGTCTGCAGCGTCCAGCCTCGTCGCCCCCCAGCTCTCCTCTCTGGTCGGAGCTCAGCCCAACGTGGAGAAGCTGGTGGAGGATCACCTGGCTGTGCAGTCGCTCATCAGGGCCTACCAGGTACACACACACAAACACGATCAATGCATCCATAAGATTATTGAAAAGCCTGTGTTTGTCAGTGACCTCTGACCGTTGGCTACTGATAGAGTGAAGCCTGTGCTGTAAAATGTTTTCCTGTTTGTTCACCTGCTTATTGATGGCTGCTGTTTGTTGATGGAGACGTTGGTGTGGTGAGTTTAGGTCTTCACAGGTCACACAAACTCAGCCTGATCAATAATTGATGATCAGCATCCATCAGAGCCGAGTGTCGACAACATCCACAATAGGGCTGGGCGATATGGCCTAAAATCCATATCACAGTGTAATTTGAAACATGTGCTTAAAGGATTTTAAGGCGCACTTAAAATCCTTTAATTTTCTCAAAAATCAACAGTGAGCCTTATGTATGAATTCTGGTTGTGCTTACTGACCTCGAACTGATTTTATGTGGTACACGGCGCTCAAACATCGGTCAAAAATGTTTTAGTGCGACTTAGCTTCAGGTCCCAAAGTCAAACGAACACTGAGAGTTAAAACTGTCTAAATTCTTTCATGTTTTATAAAACGATCAGCGTTGCTGCTTTACCAGGTGTAACTATGAAGTTTAACATCCAGGCAGGAAGTTAGCTCGCTGGCTTCCACCTAAGCATGATGTAGCATGTTCTGACTGAGAGATTTCTGAAAGAATTCAAACGTACAGCTCTGCTGTCACGTCCAACATAGATGAAGACTTTAAACTAAACAGCAGTGACGTTTGTAAAGTTACTGAAGTTGGGCTAGCTGCTATATAATGATGTGCTACGTGACCGCTAGCAAAACAGCTATGTTAGCATAAACACAGTGAAGCTGCAGGATGAACACTAACACTTTTCCACTTGATAAAAGTTAACGTGAAGGTTCCTCATGGTTAGAGACAAATGCAATCGCATAGCAGGATGCTGTAAACGGGCCAAACTTCAGTCAGGAGAACAACTGAGATAATCCATCCACAATACCAGGTTAGTTATTAATATACTGCAACAACACGGGAAGTTCAAAGTGACTCTGCAGCAACAGGATGTGCAGCCGGCTGGATTAAAGCCCGAATCCTGACCCTGACGTGACGTGACGCTGTCATAAGGACCTGTGAGGGCCTGAGCTTCCTGTTGTGGTGTGTGTGTGTGTGTTCAGGTGATGGGTCATCACAATGCCCACCTGGATCCACTGGGAATCAGCTGTGTGAATTTTGATGACGCTCCGGTGAATGCCGGCTTCCAGGATGTTGGTGAGAGCGCCGCAACTAAACCACCAAACAGACCGTGATGTTAACTTTGCTTTTCCCTCCCACCCGCCCTCTCTCCTCCTCCCTCCCACCCGCCCTCCCCCCTCTCTCCTCCTCCTCCTCTCTAACACTTCCTGCTTTTCCTAACTTTTCACCGTTTCTCCCGTTTCTGATTTCTTCCCTCGATCCTACTTCTCATCTGCTCCGCTCTTCATCCTCTGTCTGTTATTTGGTTGCATCTCCTCCTCCTCCTTCATCTCACCCTGTTCTCACCCCCCCCCCCCCCCCCTTCCTGCCCTGGGTGGGCTCTGTGCTGTTGTCACTTCCTGTAGATCCGAGGGCACCACGTGGCCCAGTTGGACCCCCTCGGCATCATGGACGCCGATCTGGATTCGTGTGTCCCCACTGACATTATCACGTCCTCCGACAAGCTGGGTGAGGAGCTGACCCTCAGAAATCGACCCCCTCTTCGTGTGTTCAGCGCTCCTCCTCGTTGGCTGGAGGAGTCTCTGAAACGTTATCGTACAGCAGAAGAGTTTCTTCTGCTGTACGATAACGTTCTGTTTTTAAATCGAGCTCTGTTTCAGGATTTTATTCTTTGTCTAAACTGAATCGTTCTTCCTCATCTAACATCTGAAGACCTTCGTTCTGTGATGAAGGTCTGAGAATTAACCTCAAATCATTTCAGTGTTTCCCACACGGACACGTGAGGAGAGACCGCACGGCTGTGCTGACGTGAACGTTAGTGCCACTTTATTCATCACAGTCTGGATCATCACATGTTTGTGACACTTGTGATCATTTAATTTCATTTAACAAACAAACTAAATGTTATTTTTTTGTTATTTTAGTTTAAATATGATATTTTAATTAAAACGAAGAGCTTAAGGCTGTAACCCTCAAACTGTGACACGGGTTCTGATCATGTGGTTCACAGTGAGGCTGCAGCGCTGTTACTCTGTAATAAACAGCATTTACCAGATCAGAGGTTCAGTCCTGCGTCTGTGTAAACTCTCGGTGGTGGTGTGTAGTCGCAGTCTCTCCTCCACGCTCTGTTGAAGTGTGGATGGTTTTCTTCAGTTTGTGGGAAACACTGAAAACATTGACACAATCCTAATCCCGAGTTTAAAATCTGGATGATTCTCTGAGATCTAAAAAGCCTGACTGAAGGTGTTTTTAATGAAAGGGGAACGTCCTTTTTCCTGAAGGTGATTACGTCCCCGCCGAGGACCGAAAGCTTTCTCAGGGCCTCTGTAGAAAACGTCCTGATTCGGTGTGGCTCCAGGAGGCCTGGCGGTAACCGGCTTCACTGCCTCAGACCTCACGCTCAGACTCGGAGCTCCTCTCCGCTGGAAAACACGATCGGCATTAGTGATGCAGCAGGATGAAGCCTTTAATGCCTGAGTCCGTTTCTGTTGGACGCGAGTCGCCCATCGTTGACTCCACGTGGCGTCGTAGGATATCTGGAACTGTGGCGCAGCTTTTACTTTGAAGGGCAGCATTCTTGGTTTTCTGTTTGGGCCGCAGCGATCTGTTGGCGACCAGAACAATCAGCGGTCTGCTCGCGCTCGCTTCGTTTAGACTCACCACAGCGGGCCGTGTAGAAACGGCGTGGATGATGACACTCGTTTATTAAAGCTTCTGATTCAAACCGAGCGACCCGCGAGCTGTCCGAGCGTTTCATCCACGCACGCGTTCACGGAGCCCAGTGTGAACACGAGACCTGCCAAAGATCACAGAATCTTTCTGAAGATGAAAAAGGCGGCGTCGGAGTCTCTGGGCAGCGGCGGGCTGCTGCTGTAGTTGAGCTTCTGCTGCGTGACGCTGGGCTGTGCACCACGTTAGCCAGAGCGCTCCTCCACTGCTAATCCTGCTCAGATCTTTTCCTGCAAGTTTAGACCTGAAACCCCGCCAAGGTGACCGTGAGTCTAAGACACTCCATCTCAGAGCTCTTCCTCGTCTTCCTCTCAGGACATTTATTAAATAACAGCAGTCCTGGTTCCAGGTGCTTTTAAACCACCACAGAGGAAGACGAGAATAAAGCAGTACTTCCTGTTTGTTCGCAGTCTGAATGTTGCTAACGGCTCATTAACATTCAGCTTCGGCTTCAATCTGTGTCGTCAGAAACAGGAAGTCAAAGATCAAAGGTTTGTGGCTTCGCCTCACTGTCTGCGGCTAAATAAACCCCTGAAGCTGTGACTCCACCCACTGTTACACATCAGGACACGCCCCCTCTCGAGCTGCTCTGTGTGCCATGTTCAGTTTGTTGTATTAGCGCTCCCAGGAAGTAGTCCGTCTGAAGGTGACCTGAATGGCCTCGGTGTGGGACGGCTGTGGCGACGCTGTTTAACCTTAGCATGGCGCTACATGTGTCTCTCCTTCTCCACTGCTCCTTCTTCTTCTTTGATCGCGGGGTCAGACGGTGGTGGAGACGCGAGATGCGGGGGCGGCTGCTGCGCTGATGAGGCTGTAGGCCGGTGTGGTGATGTTGGTGCTGGTGGTGTGTAAAGGGGGTTGCAGGTCATTAATGGTGTCCGGGTGTCTCTTCCCTTTGCTGCCCCCTGCTGGTGACCCGTCCAGACGTGGCTGTGTTCAAGGAGAGGCTGCACATTCTCACGGTCGGAGGTACGAGAACCAGCACTGCTGTGAAGTCAGTAGTTGATCTGTAGTGGAGTTTGTCAGTGCAGTAGTTTGAAGGAAACATCTGCAGGAGCTGAAAGCATCAACGCAGCAGACGGCGGGCTCCTGAGCTCCTGCAGAGGGCGCCGCAGCGCCGCGGAGAGATTTCATCTGGTTCAGCATCTGATTCTGTCTTTGTGCAGGAGTTGAAGCACGTTTGTGACCTTGCAGCGGTTTAACCAAACTGGAAGCATGTTCACATGTGCAGCTGCAGTCCTCAGATCCTCTCACCAGCCCCACGCTCACCTGGCCAGAGTGTACCTGCAGGCCTGTGTTGGGCAGTAATGTGCACCCAGACAAATGTATAAATAATCACATGATTAGAGGGATATGTCTTCATGAAGCACAGTATAAACTGTAATTTTATGTCTCAGTATATCACTTTCACCTGCTGCTGTAGTTTCAGTAAATGTGACATCAGTTAGTTTTGTTTTTTAGAAAGAAAGTGAGCATCAACAGGTGAGACGGGAAAATAAAAATCGTGCAGACGGTCACGCCGGCAGCATCGTCTGCCTAAAATGTCTCAGACTCTGCTGCTTCTTTACTCCTGTGGATTCTGTCTCAGTGGGCTGAACCACGGTGAAATCTCCCTGTAGCCTGAGCAGCACACAGGAAACACTGAGAGGAAGTTCATCCCGTCTGACTTGACAGGCTCCGCCTCCTCTCAGGGTCCCCTGTGCTCAGCTTTGTTAGCTGCTGCTAGCGTGCTGACCCCCGCTCTGTCCCACAGTTCACCGTTATGTTCATTAGTGTCTGGGCCTGACTCTGAATGTGCTCTGAACTATGGCTTGATGCATGCTCCATCATCCAGGTAAGGAAATCCCAAAAAGTTGTCCTCAGATGCAGATGTGTCCACGTGGATTAAACATATTTATATACTGGTTAGGCACGGTGGTTAGCACTGTTGCCGCACAGCAAGAAGGTCCTGAGTTCAATTCCACCATCAGGCCGGGGTCTTTCTGTGTGGAGTTTGCATGTTCTCCCCGTGTTTGCGTGGGTTCTCTCCGGGTACTCCGGCTTCCTCCCACCGTCCAAAGACATGCAGCTTGTGGGGATAGGTTAATTGGAAAATCCAAATTGCCCATAGGTGTGAATGTGAGCGTGAATGGTTGTCTGTCCCTGTGTGTTGGCCCTGCGACAGACTGGCGACCTGTCCAGGGTGTACCCCGCCTCTCGCCCTATGACAGCTGGGATAGGCTCCAGCGCCCCTCGCAACCCTGAAAAGGATAAGTGGAAGCGGATGGATGGATGGATATACTGGTTATTAATAAAATCAGGCTGTTGTTACTGGGCAGCTCCTCCCTGCTGGCAGATGTCACTGTTCAGTTTAACAGGTAACTGAAGCTCACCTCCTGCACAGACTACAGTGATGTTCAGCGATGCTGAAAATTAAGGCGAACCCTGAAAGAAGCAACGCGGTAGTTCCTCCAGCATCCAGCCGGGGCAGTAGCGAGTCAGTCCCAATGTTAAACGTGTCCAGCAGCCTGAGACACAAACTCTGTGGATAATTGGGTTGGGATGATGTTACAGCTCACATTAGCATTAAAGGGGTTTTTTTAGGGGCTACTAGGTGTCTGCTAGGCTAATCCATAGCTTTCATGTGATGTCAGATCTACTGGGATACGCCCGCCTGGCCGCTCAGAGTACGGCACAAATGTGCGCGCGCACCTTTCCTAACCCCGCCTGACAGGTAGTTTGTTTAAGCTAGCTATGTAGCGCTTTGCATCAGTTACCCGTCCAGATGAAAAATACATGTCGCACGTCGAAAGCGTTCATCCAGTCAGCAGTGAGCAATGCTCTACAACAGACATGGTGCTCAGGGGGAGGGGCTTAGATAAAGCTGCCCTGTTTAGTGACATCAGATTACCAATAACATGGCTTCTGTGAGCTCACTGTACTAACAGACCGTCTAAGAAGACTGACCTGCAGTTTCAGTGAGTGAAGTTCTGGGATATTTGGGTGTTATTGATTAGCAGGGGTGTGTGTGATGTCACAGATCTGCCATACTGTCCTTGTAGACGCAGCTGGTTATGAATCTGTAAATGTACTGCAGTGACGTCTGGATCTGTCTTTGGGGCGTCTGACATCTAAGGCTGCCACAAACGATTATTTTGATAGTCGACTAATCAGATCATCATCCATTGGAGTAAAACGTACAGCTTATTGCACCAGCAGCATCTGCTCTTATATAACTATCATTAGCTTACAGCTATAAGTGTTTAAGGTGCTAACTAAAGATAAAGACAAGATGATAGTTTATTAAATTTTAATGAAAT